TAATCTGAGAGAAGGAGAGAGAAAAGAGAAGCGTAAAAATATCTGAAGAAAGAAATGAATTCTCTTTTTTCTTATTATTGGAAACTTCTAATTACATGTCTAATATATCAAAAATAAAAATAGAACTGGGTCACTTAATACAACTGGGACAGTCACTATACAAATGGGCTGGGTATGTCTTCAAACCAAATGCTAAGGTGGCTGATGCCCAATATTGTCAACACAACAGTTAGAGGTTATTTGCCACAACGAGATTAGAGTTAGTCCTAGGTTTACAAAAGAGTTTTTGTAAATGCAGTTTTTGGCTCAGTGATTTTAGTGGAGAGTTTGAGAAAATTCTACTGGAAAGTAGGTCGTGGTTTTTTTACCTTTTGAGTCAGGTGTTTTTCACGTAAAATACTTGTGTTCTTTACTTTCCGCATTTACTATTTCTGCAATAGTNATTTGATCGAATAGCAAAGGAGCTGCATCAAGGGTAGTAACTTCGTAATGAATCAGATTCGAGCTTGAAGACGAGGCATCGAGTCCAAAGATTGAAGTGTCCGTCGAGATCGAGGCCAGCAGCAATCGAGACTAAGCAAGACCGGCTTCGAGTAGAATGCAATAACGGAAAGGCGAGATATCCATAACCGATCGGAGATCACGGCGGAAATCTCGGAGCAGATCAAATCAAGGGCGGTTATTTGTATCAATCATGGGATTTACTTCCGTAATTAGAATTGTACCACAATTAAGATTCCTCTAGTATATAAAGAGGGGTCCCCATCATTTGTAGACACCTTACATTCATACAAAAAAAACAATATAATATTTCTCTACTATTCATCAATTTATTATTCTTTAACTGTTCTTATTTTGCATCCCTCGAGGGTTCAACAGCTCGAGGGCATTGTTCAAGCACTGGTTTGTCTTACATTCTTGCCAATTTCATTACTTATCTCTGAATTAATCAATTGGTATTAGGTGAAATCACATATCTTTAAAATCACATTACAAGTTTAATTGTTACTCGATTTTTAGGGTAAACAATTCTAACCCCAACTTAATGTTGTGCGCTAGGAATTCTGACCATACGACTTGTCACACATATATTACATCCATAAGAACATTAAATTTAAATATAATCAACTGCTAATCAGCTAGCTAATGCACTGGTTTTTATCATCTTCTTTATTTCTTTCAGAGATGTGGATATGTAATCCGTCCACGAAGTACAAACCCGGTGTCCGCACAATGTTCCCTTCTTTTTTCATTCTCCACCTGAAAAATCAATAACGAAATGATAGTGATTTTTACCTCTCTTTTGCTCCTATTTTACTAAAGTTTAAATTATATTCATTGTCAGTGTGTAAATGATATTTGCACAATCAAATCCTTTATAACATGAACTAGTAAATCTTTACGATAAACGTTAACCAATTAACCTAATAACAAAGCTAATTGCCCGCAAGGGTACGGTTGACTGATTTAGTTGGGTGAGCGTGGTTTCCCACATGGGAGACCTGAGATCGGTTCCCCTCACCACTAGCATCTTTAGTCAGAGTTCGTCGCACCGGACTTGCTTAGTATGGTTTATATCTCATGTGTAATTTGCGAGCTATTGCACAGTGAGAAGGTGATCCAGTGTGCACCCGAAGGATAGCGGTTGCGGGTTCCCTTGGAATTTTTCCCACAAAAAAAAAAAAAACTAATTGACATGCTATTATAGTGTAGTGCAAAAATATTTACACTGTCAGCATACAATATAGAGTAACTTAAATTATTTTTTACAATTGAACACTTTTTATCTTGAAATAGGAAAATATTTACCTGTACTTGGTGACTAAATAATGGAGAAAAATGGATATTTGCAGCTTGGCAAGATCAGCACCAGCACATAGTCTGAGACCCCCACCAAATGCCATGAATTTCTTGGATGCACTATGTAGTTCTTCCTCCTAATTATATATATTTACATATATAGGTTAAGAGAAGTCCATTATATATGAAATGTTAGTACAAGAAATGATGCTGAGAGCATATGAAATACAAATATACGTCACTTGCCTTCCAACGCCATGGATTGAAGACATAGGGATCCTCATAGTTATTAGAATCAAGATGAACTGATGGTGGACATACTACCACTATCCAACCTGCTGGAATTGTAAATCCTGCAACAATATAAGGACTTCAGCTTGAAGCAAACCAAATAATAAAAGAATAAATAGATACAGACATCTAAAAGCAAAATATACTAGGAAATGGTATGAATTTTCATTACCTTTTATTTTGACATCTTTCAGTACTTTTCTGAAAATTCCTGGCACGATATTGGCTAGCCTTACTATTTCATTCACAACCTGCAGCTCAGTTCTTAATCTTTAGTAACAACAAAACAAAGGTAGGATTATAAAATTGTTAAGCCAAAATTTATTAGAGTACATATAAGAAGTGCCTTGAACCATTTAAATTATGTTAAAAGCACAAATACAATATGGAAGGTAAATGCACCTTATGTGTGAATGTCATTGACTTGTATTCTGCCCATGAAATCGCGGCCTCTTTGTCCTCTCGGTTTTTAACAATGTTCTCGTGTTCTTCCTAAATCAAGCAGAAAAAGAGAGATGAGATTTAGTGTAAGATAATATGAGAAATAAAAGACAAGGAAGAAGTAAAATAGGTGAGAAAAGATTTTCAGGAACGAACCATAAGTTGTGGCAACACCTGAGGATGATCATTGAGAAACTTAAGACCTAAGGCAATGGCAGCAGATGTTGTTTCAAATGCAGCAAACAAGACTGCAAAGATAGTGTTCAGGGCATTTTCCTCGGTTAGAATTGTTTCTTTGTCTACTTCATAAAGGAGGTGATCCAAGAAATCTTGTTTCTTTCGTTTTTCCTTTGATGTTTTTCTCTCCTTCACTATATCTTTGATCATCTTCATGGCATTTTTACGCCCCTGAAAAAATGTACTACTTAAACTAAGGTCTAATCAGCTAAACCATACATGTATAAAGTGATCCATTCTTCCATGAGTTTAAATTATATACATTCTGAATATAAAATTTTTTACACAATATCAGTGCACCGGTTATAGCATGTTACAGCTCTATTTCTTAGGTTGTCATATTAGGTTTGATACAACAGAATACTTCACCTGTAAAGAGGCATGATAAGCTGTACCAGGGAGATTAATGGGAAAACAGACAAAGCCACCCATAAAAGCTCTGTACTGCTCTCTCAATTCCAATGCTTTTTCTTCATTACATCCCAGGATCTTTTCCGCCATAAATGTGATTAGCATCTGGATTAAGACATATCAAAATTAACTATTAGCAAAAAGAAGAGCGTGTTGAAACTTAATATAATTAACTTGATATATAAAAGTGTGTTCCCTAAAAGCTTAAGAGAATATCACAATTTCAGGCGCTTCTTTGACGTCAACATCGCCCTGGCCAGCCCATCGATGCAAGTGTTTACGAATGTTTAGGTCAATTTCAGATATATGGTTATGTTTTAGCTTATCAGGGCCAACGAGACTGAGAACTAAGTTCCTAAGGTACTTATGAACAGTCCCTTTGTTGTCAAGAAAGCCATCTTTTCCAGTGAGTTCAATAGCACTCTTTGTGTACCAACATTGGAACAACACTTCTTCTTGTTGGAAGACATAGTAATTGACTTCAGGATCAGTAGATAAAACCACTGGATGCCCAACTAAACTAGTCTTAAATAGCTTCCCATATCTGCAAAATCAAGAAACTTTTTTCAGAAGTACTTGATTAGGATTACCTATAACAGCAGGTAATTTTATAAGTAACTCTGGTTTGGTAATCTTAAAATACAGTAAATAACCTATTATAACCGGTTAAAGTACATTGACTATATGAGTAAATTCTTTTTTCTTTAGTGTATGGTAAATATAAGTAAAATCTTTAGTTTAAAGTGCATTGACTATATAAAAAAGGAAAATCCTTTAAAAAATTTCAGGTTGACAAACCTTGCAGTTCTTTTCTGAATAAAAGGTGGGATTCCTTCCAAAGGATGTGAAGAGAAGTACTCAATGGATTCGCCAATAATAGGCAGACCCATAGAGCCAGGAGGCAATAACCCTTTGCATTTGGGATTTCTCCATCTATACACCCAATGAGTGAATCCTACAACTATTAATGCTACTGCCAGTAAACTAAGCCACATATTTTCCTCTGTATATATATGTATCCAAATTTCAACTAAGTTTACCAACTCATTTGTAAGGACGAGATATATATATACACTTTCTGTGCTGCCAAAAGCTAATGAGTGATAATATCAAGTTAAAGCCAGGTAGTTATAAGAAAATTTTGTACAAGAATGTATATTCGGAACATTCTGTGGTGGGTGCTACTAAAAAAGAAGCGTCATATTCTGCAACTTGTTATCACGTGAAAAGTATCTTGCATACGGTTTAAACTGGTTCTTTGGCTAAACGTATAAAATTTTGCTTTTTATCAAAACATGCGCATTGCATTGCATTCATCCTCTTTTGCGTATCAAGAATCTTTCTTATCATTGGAAATTAGACCAACTCTTTTGCCTCTTTTTTTTCCTGCTCGTTTCTGTCGATGAAATTAACGTTTTTATTTGGATTGAAAGACTTGACTTTCCGCATTATGTCTCAATTGGAAAAATCTTCATAGAGCAGTTGTATTACCATTGGCATTTGATTTACTCCTTGATTTATAATTTTTTTTAATACAATTAATTGGCGTTGTGAGCTACACGCTTCATTTCGAGAACAAACCAAAAAGGGGCGTTTCAGGGAGGGGGGAAATAAAATCTACACGTAGTCTAATGAAAATAAGAACTGCAACTGTCTTGTGACTCTGTAAGGCTTAGCGTTTGTGTTTGCATCTAATGATTGTTCTCCTTTATTTTCACAAGAAATACGTCCTATACGTATCCCTCCACCATAAGGACTAATAATTCAGTAACAGGCTAATATCAATACACCATACCAAATTACCAGACTACATAAAACTATATCAGAACACCGAGACCCAAACCATTTTCAGATGTCAAAATATTCCCTGTATGTACACCAGTAAGTGACAGATTCGTACATCACATGCATGTATAACCATATGTAAACGAATGAACAAAGAACCAATGTAAACTTCGTCATTTTTACAAACTGAGCCTGTGTTAAAGAATAACTCTACAGCAAGGAAGATATGAACACGCAAAGATACGCTCACGTATAAAGTGACAACAGTAACAAACCGTTACCTCCGTATAATGCTTTTTAATATTTTTAACACTATAATGCAAACTTTAACTTCTCAGGATTCCATTAACTGAGAGGTTGGAGGCCTCACTTTTGTCTTCTCTAAACCTGCATATCATAACACATGATGAGCTTGCCACAATACAATCACAATTAGGAAGTTATACTAGGAACCCACGACAGCTAAAAATCCCAAAAAATCAAGTTAAGAAATTACAAAGCAATTCCCTGCCAAATATTGCTAACACAGAAAAGCACCATACATAGACATATGAAATGGAGTAGAATTTTCCAGTGAAGCATACCATGAGTCCCACGTATCTCCACTTCGCGCCATTCTTGGACAAGAGCACAGCAACAACACATTAAATGAGAAAGAAAATCATCAACAAAGCCTCCCTGAAAAGAAAAGAAAATTTTTTAGCACGGCTCGTGAGATCTCTGAGGGTATTCAATTTATTGCATCTCAAATAAAAAGAAGCATTATTGACACAACATGCATGAAGGTACTTATGTATCATAACTGTTTCTCTTTACCATGATGTTTAGCTTTTTCCGAAGCTTCCTTCTGATGCAACATGTGTAACAACAGCAGGATAGTATCAAAGAATAAGCCATTAATTCATTACAAGCTTCCGCTGAAGCTACATAACAGACATTCAAAAGTTCATATTGTTAGCTTCAAAAGTATCAAAATGAATAAATAAAAAAACAAGCTGTCGAACTACACTAATTGGTACAGAAGTCAAGAAAATGGTTCTTGTATTTTCTACTGACAAAGATAGAAGTAAGATATCTAATTATGCCCACAGAATTTAAGGGTATGCATAACATTTTCAACATTTTTGCTGAATCAAGTTACAAGACATAGTCAAGCATTGACCTTGTCGTTTTTATTTTCTTAGAAGATCAATGCAATTAAAAAGGGAGGCAATGCTAGTCTGAAAAGAGGGATTAACCAACCTATGATGGTCCAAAGACTTTATAAGTCAAACTTCTAATTATAGTTTTCTCAAAAGAAGACTTTAATTTCATAATCCTGGCCCAAGATTACATCATACTTGGAAATTTAAACTTTCAGCAAAGACGCAACACTTGACAAAAAACAGTAGACTCTAATGTTAAAATTAACCGAAAAACATAATATAGTTTCTCTTACAATGCGTATTAGCAACTCAAACTAGTACGTATGTCAGTAGTCACTTGCAGAAATATAAATATGATAAAGAGTTACACATATCTTTAAAAAAGGGCAACTAATTTCACCAGTTTCTTCATTTATTTTAAGAAAGAGAAAGATTGATGAATGAAAAGGACGGCTTAATTTTCACCCCTCATCACTCACAATTAGTAGAGCTATTAATAGACCAGAAAGTTCTAAATGGAATATAAAGCCACTTACATATATGCCTGTCTGCAGCAACACTGGCAACTTTAGAAAATGTACC